TTGTAAAATATCCCGTTCTCCACAGGTAAGAAATTCACACACACGATGAATGTCAATTTTCGTCGCTCTTACCGAAAGCAAAGGGTCTCCAATCGTATGGATTGGATTATATTGGATATTATTCCTCCAAGCTATAAGCAACTAGGAAGTGTTACCAAAAACGGCACAATCCCGACTTATTTATACGCCACCAGTAGCAAGTAAGTAACTATCCGATCATAGCGAACAACAGTCAGGCAAATTTGAATGCCATGCATTATGTAGGTACAAATCACACTTGATCATGAACCAACACTACACTTCCAAGCTCTAATATAATCATCCCAAGTGTTAATCTTTGAGCAAGGGGGACCCCGACCCCATATGATTTTTCTGCAAGTATGCGTAAGAAAGCCAACAAGCCTCTCCCTTTCCCCCAAAACGAATATGATATAAGGATTTCATAGAATCATAAAATCAAGGTTTTTTTTATATTTCCTTTTCTCTTGATTGTGACTATGTTACATACAACAAAGCAGTGTAGCAGTTAATTAAAAAAATTCCGATCCGGATCCGGATCGTTCCGAGGGTCTCCATATGCCTGTTTCAAAATGTGGAGTGGAGTGGCGATATGTCGTTAGACATTGCCTTGATCTCGTACGTGCCATGTAAGTCCGTACTGTCTATGCCCCATTACTACTGTGTATGTATGTGTCCTCGTTTAGCGCTGCAATACGATCCACTAGTTAGGAATAGCTAACTAGTCAACGGACGGACGAAATACCATGGAAAGGACTTAGAAATAATTTGCTGTACATTTTCACGTACATACATACATACATACATACATACATACATACATACATAGCTGTATCGTAATGGAATCAAATAAATCCACGAATACGCCGATCTTCTATCCACACTAATCTGTGTTTTTCAAACTGAGCTCATCCGACGGAGTTAAAGCCCTTTTTAGCAGGACAACTCGGAAAACAGTTTTTTTTTTTTTTCAGGCCGTCAATGATGAAGGCTGCACCATGCAGCACTAGCTTCATGCATGGAAGCGCCTAAAGAACCTTCGAAAGTTCTTCAGCTTCCGAAATATCATGCAGTTGACTATAGGCCACACACACCCGGAGCCGCTGCTGCGCTGCTGCTGCTCCTATCCATACATACATATCACAGTGTACTAGCTAGCTAGCTCAAGGCCCTCTATCTATCCATTTTGCGTGCATGCAAAAAAGTATCTGTGGAGTATGTATCTTCGTCCCCCGGCTTCTTTCTTCCCCTAAGCTAGGATGAGATAAACATTGCTCGTATTCTTCTTGTCCGTTCACAATTGTTCTTCTGACTTTTTGTACAGGTTTGCAACGTTTGATGTCGATGACTAGTGTCTATACCAACCTGGAAGTCAAGTTTACCTCTCAGTTGGAAAGAATATCCAGGTTGCAGCCAATACTCGAGTCAAGTCAATTCAAGTCTCCCCTGAGCAAAGTAATTCGGTGCCTTTAAATCCCAGCTAGCTATCCCCTCGTAGATAATATCTCATCAAAATATACCCCCCCTTCACGGGGTCCACGGGGTTTCTCTTTGTAGTTATTTAGCGAAAAGTCCTTAAACTCTCATAGCAAATACAGTGGGAAAAGAAAGAGAGAGTCCCTCCCCCAACGATTCAATTACAAGCTCTCGATCCCCGGTTCATCCTCCACCCCATAGCCCTGTAGAAATCAGAAACAAACCGTCAAGGTAAATAAGTACCCGATTCGATGACCACCCAACAACAGCCAACAAAAAAAACGTTAACAAGCCCTTCCGCCGTTGCATATCCCCTCACCCCTCTCCATGGGAATGACCCCATAGACGCCCTCGTGGCAGCCATGAAAAGAGACAATGTCTCTTAAGTTTTTTTTTTTCTTGGAGAAAGAAAGAAGGGAACCGAAAGCCGGTTGTGTTTCGAAGGAAACCTTGGATACTTGGGTATGTATGTAAGAAAATAGAAGTACTCGGTGATTGGACGCTTACTGTCCGACCGTTACAGGAGTATTTAACTGGTTCTTGAAAAACAGCCCATTGCCATTTCTATGTATTTAACTCGAAGCCGAAAGGGCACTACCTCGATAAAGGTAAGACACCGATGGGGCCTTACTCCCTCCAAATGGTCATGCAACCAAAATCTACAATTAACATGGATATATCTCAAAGCGCATCATCATCGAATATTTTAGCCAACGTTCCCAGCAAAAAAATAAAAAATAGATAAAAAATAGATAAACCACCCAACAATCAGCAAGGCCCTCCCATACAGCATACTCCTCCATAATATTCAATCATATTAAAAAAAAAAACCGGGTGGTTGCTTGAAGGGAAAAGAAACCTAGGCAAACGGTGAAGCAATCCCGCATGCATTTGCCCAGAGTGGTGATAGACCTGAATTGGGATATCGATGCGAAGGAAGCCTGCCTTGCACGAAAAAAAGACATAATGGAAGTTCAGATATATTTTGTTTTTATGTGAAACCCTCGTGCTCGAGCCTCAGATCAGACGAAAAGAGGAACACACATATGCACACCCGTATCATACATCATACATCGTACATATCATACATATCATACATACATACATAGCAGAGTAAACTTATGCATGCATCGTCAAAATGCAATGAGGACACGCTAGTCTATCTAAAGTGTAAGGAACCACTTGCCAGCAGCCCATGAGATCTACTTCCCCCGAGAGAGCGCCGAAAGGGAAAAAAAAAGTCGAACTTGCAAGAAAAAGCCATGTTGAAGGAGCAGGAGGCGCACGGAAGTTAATTATGATCTCTCATCGCATTAACGTTGAGTCAAAACCTCTTGGATTCCACCCGTGGGTCTTATCAACCATCGTTCCTTTCCTTCTCCGGCGGTGGAACCTTTCAAACACCGATAGGCTCTTTATAGTGCGCACCATCGCGATACTAGCTGGGATACATGGGGCGGGGGGAAGACCAACAATATCCCTAGTCTGATCTTTAAGCTAAGCTACAACCCCCTCTCCTCCTCCTCCGCCCCAAGTTAGACGTAAGCAACAGGAAAGGATGAGTATTTATCATATGATACCTTTATTTTTTATTTTATTTTTATTTTTATTTTTCTATAGTTGTCAAAAGGAAGATGGTTATGTTTCTTTACACATCCCCACCTAAGAGAAAAGACGCTTGCTATTTCCGGCCTTACCGAAGGTGAAATAGCATGGCCTGCTTCACAAAACCGCCCAGAACCAATCCTCCCATTTATTTTTTCGCAAGTAGGGAGCTCAAACAGTTGATTAAGGTAACTCCTCCGTAAGACAAGGTATTGGAAAAAAAAGGTACGTACCAAAAAAAAAACTTCAAAATTAAACTATGGATCAAACTATTCCCTGAGAACCGACAAATACCTGTATACTTCATAAAGTAGTAAATTCAAGGTCCAGCGGGGCAAAGAGGGGACCCGCCACTTATGAAACAAGATAGAGAGGACCACCCAAAGGGAAAAAAAATAAATATATTATGCGAAGTGGAATTCCCAAGCCATTGGATATCCTGATCAGAACCATGTTATATAACAACGATCATCCAGCTATTGACAACCGCGCGTGCGCCCCCAGTTCCCCCTCATCGAGGAAGGGAGGGAGGGGAGGGGCCCATCAATAGTTCCTGATTTTTACTATACACCTACACATCCAATACAATACATTAACATGCATTTCGTAACGAGGTGATGATCTTTTACTCTTTTCATATTCATAATTATAATCTATGATTTTCCTTCGCAGGACAGGTACTTAAGTACTCACATATACATACACATACTAGATAGAAGATGAGGGGGACGGGTTGAGATGAGATAGCCGAGTACTCGAGTTCACGAGTTCATGCACCCCGGGAGGGACAGACATCCTGTGCCGACTGTTAACTACTGGCCTATTGTTGGAATAAAAACCACAAGATCTTAAGAATGAATTCCAACCCAACCTACAACAAAAAAGAACAATGTTGACAAAGGGAAAATAAAAAATAGCTTAGACAGGAGTTCAGGACCCACGGGTGGGGGATAAATGCTTACGGAGTAGCTACGGTGGGGACCATTCCCGGGCCATGGTACTTCACATTCAGTAGACCTGGTAAAGGGTACGTTTTGGAAAAAAATATAATAGTAGCATTGTTTTTTTTTTGCGCCGATATCCATGAGGAATATGTTCTCCTTATTCTAGAGGTAGTTAAGGCAAAAGCAACGAAAATCAAAAAAGGGCAGAGCTCACAAACTGCAAAAATTGCACAAAAACTAGAAACTTAAAAAAATAAAAAAATTTGTGAGAGCTAAGCAAATATCCTCCCGAAGCCAATTGCGAAAAGGAAAAAAAGAAAGAAAGAAAGAGACCAGAGCAATTTTTTGGGTGCACAAAAGGAAAAAAAAAAGTGTTGCCAATATGCGAGAGGATATGTGTATCAGAGGAGAGTAAAAATGTCCTCGTAGATTATATGATTGCCAGTATTGGGAAAAGATGCCTGCTGTTGTTTAGGCTAGCAGTATGACAAGTGGCAAGATAGGTATGCAAGAGATGAAAATATACAATACGATAGAGAATAAAGAAAACCCATGAATAAGAAATGTGACTAATGGAAAACAGTACACCGCGATCACCAGTGAAGGAAAAAAACCCGTATGAAAAGGAAATTAGGAAACACGAGACCCGGATGCTTAGGTATTTCAGGGCCAAAAGAATAATCAAGAAAGCGAAAACGAACTCCCCGATGCAAGTGTATGATGTAGAACAAAGCTTTCCTCCAGTGAATATTTCCTCGAATGACAAAACGAAAGAAAGAACCCAGCGAGTAACACGAATGAGAAAAGGAAAAACAAAGCCGCAAAAACCAAAGGTAATTAAAAACAATAATGAGAAATACATCATAGGTATCGTAACAATTCGTAACCCAATTTGAAAAGAAAAATGAAAAAGGTGATTACAATGCAGGCTACTTCCCCCAAGTGTTGAATATATATTTAGGACATCGAGTAGGTGTTGTGTCGCGGGAGCTGTTGGCTTCCGTCGACGCTGCCTTGGTATGGGTTTGGCAACCTTTGCTGGTAAGCAAGGTTATGCATCGTTTGTTGAGGTACAGTCGGAACGTTATCGGCATAGACTGGAGGAATCTCAAGGTTCTGTCGGCCCATCCCATCCCATGATGTTCTTGGGATATGTTGCTGTGTCGAGATCGCAGGAACATGGTGAGGAAGCGGTGCCCATGTGGCGGCTGGGAGTGCCATGCCAGGTTGCAAGTGGCCGGAGAGAACATCAGCACGGGTAACTGCTGGGCGATCGATCTGTTGAGGATAAGCATGTGCAGCGGCGGGTGGCGAGACGCTGGCAGTAGCACGCTGAGGAACGGAAGGAGAAGTCGAGCTAGAACGAGGGGATGCATTCTGAATCATTGGGCCGGAAGAACCCATTGGTGGGCTCATCACGGAAGCTGTCGACGAATAGCTGGCGGACTATACCGAGTTCAGGTTAGCTAGACTATTTATAGTGAATCAAATGTAACTGCGGAAAAGGCGGTGCTTACGTATTTGCCAATAATTTTCTTAAGAGCCAAAGTGAGAATCTTCCATGGAAAAACCTTGACATCTTTCTCGATGTTTCTGGGCTTTGGGTTTGGGAAAGACATGATGAGCTTGAAGAATGGTTCGCTATCGGCCTTAGCCTTGGAGACGGTCAAAGGATGGAACCCCTCGAGATTTCGCCTGATCCTGTTCTTCTCTTCGACGGTGAACCTAACACCGACGAGAGCTTCAAGAAGGTAGATGCAGTCGACACTGGTGACGAATGTCTCCTGTCGCTCCGCCCACCAGATACAGCTGATGCAGATGCTGTTTGCTTGGCGTTCGCTCGGGCTGACCGGTGCGAAGCTAGCCTCGACTGTGTTGCCTCGTTGAGTGCGACGGAACTGAACCAGTCGACGCTTGTTTTGCCACTCTTCAGCAGTCCAGTTCTCGGCCATCGAGTTCAAGTCTCCCTGGAGAGCGAGGTTGGCCTTCTGTGGGAGCTGGTATGGGTTGAAAGATCCATGTGATTGTTGAAGAGTCGAGGTCCTAACCAATGTTGGGTTTCCGACGTGGTCTGAAGTCGAGCCGACATTCCACGAAGCTGGTCGGCTGGCATCTCCATAGATGGCGGTTTGTGTGTATGATGGGAAAGAAGAACCGCTGACCGAGGGATAAGAATAGATGGCGTAATCCTCCTCCTTTCCTGGAATTCTTGGCTGGAGAGCTGGTCGTTTAACAGTCATCTTGTAGATATCGCTGGCAATGTCCTTAGCACCGCTAGAGAGTCTTCGCTTTCTGCCCGAGCCATCTGGTGTAGGAGATGACTCATAAGATTGTGGTGGCGAAACATCGGTATAGATGAATTCGGTAATTTCTTCGGTGTTCAATTCCATGCCGTGCTCGTCCTCAACGTTGAAGTAAACTGGAACCTTCTCGCCATACCATCCAGTTGTCGAGCTTGGTGGAACTTTGGTCAGAAGGTTGAAAGACATGAAGCCATCGATAGCAGAGGCCTTCTGGATAGAGACTGGACATCTCTTGGATCCAAACATCACCCTATAAGTCCTGTTCTTGTCCATTGTCAAGTCGGTCGTAGAGGAAACGACAATAGTGAAATCGGTGTTCGATGAGCCCCGAGCTGGAGAACATCCTGTCACACGAGGGAATGGAGTGGAAACTTGAGAAGTCTGTTGAAATTGACCTGGTTCGAAGGTTGATGGAGTGCTCTGTTGAGGAGTCTGATATGTAGAAGGAGTATCTGCTGGATAGGTAGGATACGCAGCAGTAGGCCCGGTTATCTGCGGGAGTTGAGTGTTGTCTAAGGCAGATTTCACAAAATTTAGTAAACTGCTGGTGGTACATGGGACAGGGAAGGATCCGATGTCACTTTGTGGCAAGCCGGATTTGTCACAGGGCTGAAAGATGGAGGAGCGCTTACATTGCAGAGGAGACCTTCGGTTGGTGTAGGAGGCTGCCATGTTGCTGAGAGCCTGGGTGTATGGGCTGCCCTTGTCGAACTGGAAGTCGAAAGTAAGACCGGCTTCAGCGTGCTGATAATCGAATGGTGGAGGAGTGGGAATCCCAGCCCGTGAGAACTGCCAGAGGGAATGTCAGCAAGAGTAATCCGAAAGAACTGCCAGGTCGTGAATGGAAGAATCGAAGATAGAAAAAAGAAGAAGGAGAAGAAGAAGAAGAAGAACGTCGCTAACAGGCAAAGCTATATAAGAAGATTAAAAAAATAAAAAGGAAAAAAGAAGTCTAGAAGGAATAGATTATAGTGATGATGGAAGGTTGTAGGAGGGAAAGCTAAGAAGGGAAGGGACAGGAGGTGGTGGAGGTGGTGGTGGTGTGGGTATAATTATAGGCGATGTTGGGTCACCGTACGTCGCCACCAGCTGCAGGGCCAGGCCCAAAACTGTGTTGAGTTCGAGTTGAAGGGAAAAGTGAGTTGAGTTGAGTTGGATAAAACAACAGACTTCTTCTGCTCAGACTCAGATGGACGTATGTACGATGATATATTTAATATCAACTGGTTGAAAAAGAAAAAGGGCACAGATGCAACAATAATAACAATAACAGGAATAAGAATAAAAAAAAGGTGGATGTCAGTCATATGCAATGGGACGTGGTCCTCCCGTTGGACGAACCTGCAGTGCAGAAACAACTTGCAAGCAACTAAGTAGTTAACTTTGGCAAGTAAGTTGGCTAGCAGGTGGGAAAACCCACAGCCTTGACTGCACTTGCTACCCCCGCGGCCCTGGTTCGAAGCCCAAAAGTCCGAACGATGAGGATCTGCGGATATAAAAATGTCCTGCGGGAGTCTATGCATCTGCATCGAGACCTTTTTTTTTTTTTTCTTGATTGTGAAGTCTGTCCCGAATGTAAGTTACCGGATCCCTTCCGGCCCAGCCAGCAGCCAACCCGTTGCGAACTCATTTGACGATGGTGGAACGGTCTTCAAACCATCCATCTCTCATCCATAACAAGCTGTGCAAGGAGCAGATGCCAGGCCAGGCGGGTGTTGGACGGCTAAGGGAAGGGGAGGAGGGGGAAGCTGCATGCAAAATTGCTGTACCTCAAAAAGTTTTTCCGTTGGTAATGTAATCAATCCTATGCTTCCGTAGACAGTAATAATATATCTTTCCCTTCTTGCATCTCCAAATGATCCGTCCCGAGTCTTAGATATGGTTCGCTCTGGGAAAGTAAGGTGATCAAGGGAGACTTAAGAAGGGAACATGTCGGAAGTGAAGGATTGAGTAAGGTCTCGGAGCCGAAAGCTCAAATTGCAAGACCCAACCAAGTCAAGGAAAAAAAAAAATAAAAATAAAAATAAAAAAAAGAAAGAAAAGAAAGAAAGTAGTAAGGTATCGTATTCAGAGCAGAGGAAGAAAAAAAATAAAAATCTGCAACCCTCAAAATGACGAAGGGGAGGCAGGGAAGTGGGAAAGAGGAATTTTCCCTCCAAAATAGCGAGCGACCTCTGCACCCTCAAAGCAGATGGCAGCCTGCTCGTTTTTTTATTTTTTTATTTTTATTTTTTATTTTTTCTGGGTATTTCTTTTGTCTCCTCAAACTTTCCCTGACCATGCTATAAGGGGTGTGCGCATGGGTGTGTCATGGCTAGTCCCCGGTGTATTGAACAAGGGCTGACCAGGGGACTCAAATCCACCGAAATCAGGTGGGAAGAAACTCGCCATGACTTGCCGGCCCACGAATGGGAAATTAGGGCCAAAAGGAAAGGTGCAAACGCAGCTTCAGCCCCCCAGCTAGTTATTTTCTTCCACACAAGCTCTGGGCTTCAAGCTCAAGTTGGGAGAGGAAAAGCAGTGAAGGGGGAGGAAAGACAAGCCAACACGCCATAGTTCGATTCTGCAAAGGTAACATTTGACGTGTGGAGCCACAAGTTGGACTATCGCACTTTCTAGAAGCACTATAATCCACTTTTAAGGCCGAATACAAAATAAAAAAAAATCGACAATACTCAAGCAAAAAAACTCTAAGGGAATTGCGCAATATTAATCTTGGAAGGGACGGGAACCAACCGTATAGGCCATTGATGAAGCTTTCGGACGGGAATCTATCCTGGGCCCTAAAGCTGAATCGTTTAAGAAACCTTGGTTCAATGAACCGGAGAATAAGCTTCGATTGTTGTTGGGTTGTGAACGACCTGAACTGAGACTGTTGCGGAAGGGAAGTCTGCGATTGATAAAAAAAAACGGCGTTCAAAGACAGGTGTTAAAGGTAAGAGACAGGTATGGGTCGTCAAGTGGGTATCGATGCTTTATAAGTGTATTGGAGGATGGGTAAAAAAAAAATAATAAACTAAGATCGAAGGCGAGGATTGAAGATGCTTAAGTAGATTGATTGATGCTGGTTGCAAGACAAAAGTAGAATCGATGACGGGTCCGCCGCTTTGTATATATAAGTCTATGTAATCAAGCTAAGCTAGTCTCGAAGAGAGCTTGCTCAGAGACTTCACAGCGGATGCATCCTGGGCCGCCCTAAAGGTTGGCAGCCAGCGGACCCCAGGAGGGGAATTGCTTTTGCTATGGTGTAACTGCATGTATCCAAACTGCCGGGCCTTGATGGGTTTCCGGGGAGATGCACGCTCGTGCGAAAAACTTCTCCCGAAATGCAGACTAGTGCGGCCACCCCGCGATGACACTGGCGCCAACAGAGTATGACGATACGGTGCAGCGCTAGCGTGCACAGCCTCGCCTCATCTTCTGCGCTAGCTTGCTTCAACTGAAAAAAGAAATTTCCAGGGCGGCATTTGTGTGCTGGTGGCTTTCCCCCAAGACGCCAGAGAAAGAAATCAAAGACGAGATGAAGCCCAAAATGGAATAACGAGACTCAAAACGATCATGAAACTTACTACGGGTATTAATGAAAAATAGTTTTCCTTACCTTTTAGACGCGGAGGTTGGCCAAGTCGCTGGGAACGAAGCCACAGTTGTGTATGCAGGAAAAGCCAAAAGGTAATTTTCCGATCGTTTGAGCCCTTGAAAAGATGGCGGTGCAGTTCTGTGCTAGAGACGTCGCTTGTACTGTGCTGTGTGCTGTGTGCTGTGCTGTGCTGCGATAACTGCTGATGCGTGTTGCTGTGTGGGAATTTGACCCAATCGAGCGAAGTTTCCCTGAAGTTGCTAAGCTGCGTTTTCTGATGCCGGCGAATGCGCGATATAGAACCGAAAAGGATGTAGAAATTGACAGAGTCGAATGCAAGTACTTGACAAATAGTACACGATGCTATGATGATGACGATAATGCTTGTATGCTGCTTTCCTGTCTTGTTTTTTTTATATATATATTTTTTTATCTTTCCTTTTTGACAATGTATATAGATAGATATATCTTTTTTTTTTCCCCGTTACGATATTTATATGCCAGATGCAGACCGCTTAACTTGTTCTATGCTGTGCTGTGCTGTGCTTGCCGTATTGCAATATTGGTAATGTTGGGGCTGAAGTGGATCGTGAACGAGTAGAAACTTAGTAATGTGTGGGTAATATGGATCGATGCAGATGAATGTAACAAGATGACTGCGTTGGATTTTGCACAAAGTTGACGGATCACCTAATATCAGGTCAAGCTGAACCGAAATTTAGTAAGACAGAGAAAAAGAGACAATAGATTCGAGGAGGCCAGGGTGTTTATAAAAGGTTCGTATTCGTAGTTCGAAGTCTGTGCTCGAGAAAGGTGGGCGGAGGGAGACAACAGCCCTCACTGACCAGGGTATATGTGTGTATGTGTGTGTATGTTTTGAACTCTGGATTGATGGCTAGATCGTTGACTTACTTTTAAGCTATGAATCAACCGTCGACGATTGACTTAGAGAAGTCAAAGCACTGACTTTCGAATTTGACGATGATGGAGAATCCAAAAAAAAAAAAGGAGACGAGCGGGAGGTGGGTGCGTCTGGGGGGGGTTTATAAGTTAGGGTCGAAGGATCGGATTTCAAGACAAAAGAGAAGCCTTCGGAAAGCTAGTCAGGACACGAAGTCTAAACAGAGCAGTAGCAGTAGCAGTAGCAGTATTGACAGTAACACCGCTTTACTTTTCGATAACTAATAGGGAATTATCGTATCCACCCGGTGTAGGGAATGGCCATGGGTGATAGAGAGGAGAAAGCAAATAAGACAGAAAAGAAAAAAGCAAGTTAATTGAAAGACATCGGCCGCCCTCCTCGGATGCCGTAGACCAATCGATCCAGACTTCACGGTAGCGAAACCACACCTCTGGGTTGATCTGAGGTTAGATTGGATGGTAGGACGGATTTGCTTGAACGTTAAAGAGAACGTTCCTTGGGACATAGTGTCGATTGGCAGTGAGTCGAGTCGGCTCCACAGGAATTCCGAAGTTTAGATTCCACAAGGGTTTAATTTCGAGGAAACCATACCACAAGGGGAGCCTAAGGCTGTTTTTTCTTTTCATTTTTTTTTAATTTTTTGATTTCTGATTTCTGATTTCTGATTTTTTTTTTGACTTTTGCGTAGTTTCCGGACTGGTGTTAGTTACAGACAGCCTTGTAAGCTTGGAGAACTGGAATTTTTTCGGCCGGGTGGATGGATGACTGACAATTGCAGAGAACTATCCCATCACATCTCCCGCTGGGGGGTGTCATGCCCGGTTCATAGATCCTGTTTCTGGAAGGAATCTTGACGTCGATATGCCAGATGCGGCGATGAGGAAAAACCAAAGTTCCAACTCCAACTGGCTAAGGCTTGAAAGGGCCGGCCGGACACCAATTCGCAAAATTCCCCGACAGGCCCACTTTTGACCATCTAGAAATCATGATAGCAATGCAAAGCAGCAGTTCCAGATTCCACTAGTCCATACTTACGAGTCTTTGCGTCATTATTCGTGGACTCTGGCGTGTCCACTGCCAGCTGAACTGCATATTTTCGACGGGAACAATGGGAGAAAAAAGTGTTGCCTCAGTCATTGTCTTCTTTGGTGCCACCGCAGCACTGCCGCA